GATTAGCAAGTAATAGCTCATGGTCTCCTTATGCTAGGGAAGGCAGAGCCGATTGTATAACACTAATGCCCTCACCCTTGTGTGCCATGTTCGTGGCACGTCATTGTAACTTTCACTATTTCTCGATCTTAATATAAAGATGTACAAAACTTTTGCGTATTCGAGAAAAAACAACGTCAGGAAAAGCGACAACGGCAAGTTCTTCGTATGGGATGGCCAAGAAATCCCTTGGTGAGCAGTCGTCATCACTTGTTTAAGTCGACAGCACAGCAGTCAACAACATCCTTGAATTTGATTCAACGGTGCCTTTTTTTTCAACATGCATTATTTTTACGGGTCTTATTATGACCGACCTAATAAGTAGAAAGGGCCTCGTGCAAAGGCAAGGACACCAAGGTCAATTCCATTTTTCAACTACTTTTCAGCTGTTTAGGAATGATGGAAATTGCCTGTTGATGAGTTATTGTAGTCCTTTAAATTCTGAGAGGTTTTCTCATCGGTGATCTATCAATCTGCTCCATATTCATCACGCTAAATTTCTTCTGTACTGTTACTGTATAATTCGAAAAAAAATCACTTTCCGAACAGGTTGCAAATCGCAATGCTAAACCAGTTCTACAGGTCCTGTTCTTGCATGTACATAAATAATAATAACTTCTGAAATGCTACTTATAACATTCAACTTGGAAGTAATGATAAGAAAAATATAGTCATCCTAACCCAAATCTGGAGATCCCCATCCGATACGTGTGAACTGGCGTGAATATGCGACACTGGCGCGACATCGCGACAGGTCGGAACTCGGAAGGTGACATGACATGACTCTCGGTCGCTGCTTATTTTACAGGGCACTCGAGTGTTTTGGAGGCCGAAAACACCCCTTTTTTCTTCACAACTTCTTCTTCCTCAAGCCCGACGCGACGCCACCACCCACCGCCCCGCCGCAGCGCAGTAGGGTTTCGCCAGAGCTCTGCCAGCGCCTGCAGCGGCGGCCTCCTTCCCCTCCCCCCTCCTGCCGCTGCCATGGCCATGGGCGCCCTCGCCCCGACCTAGCCCATCCACCGGTAGAACCCTAACACCATCCTCCCGCCGTCCCACCGTCGGGCCGACCTGCCTCCCTCGAGCCCCTTCTAAGCCCGCCGGAGTTGACGAAGAAGAGAGGGAAAGACCAGAAATGGAGAAGAATGAGATGGAGAGGAATCGATTGTTGAGAGGGAGAGAGGAACACTCGAGTGTCATTTAGCATTTCTCTTATTTTAGCATTGTCGTCATGGTCTTCTGATCTTATACAAGATACAAACACATTACACACAACTGACAATTCCCTTTCAATTTCAAACGGCTGGTTCTTGACTTAGATGCGTTATCGCTGAACAAAGTCATGCACAATCTTACTATTACTAATTAGAGGCTCCAACGAAGCCTTCACGTTAATACTCACAAGAAGCGCTAGAAAAAAAGATAAATGCTAGAAATACTCACGTTAATCAGAAACATCTGACCATTAATTGAAAGACTCCAACTATCCCTTAACCATAGATCTATTTTGTTTTTTAAAATTATCCACCTCCACAATTATATAGATAAAAAACAACCTAAAATTTCATTGTGTACGGAAAAAAATTATTCAAGGAAAAAAACGTATGAGAAATAATCTCCTGTACTCAGGTTTACACAACTTCAATGTACGGAAAAATTCTTTAAGTAAAAAACTAATATCTGATCGGTTTGATATTAATAAAATAACATGTAAACAATGCCCATCACATCCACGTTAGATAATCTATAAATAAAAAACAAAAAATCAAATAGAAGGTTAATCTGTTAATCCGAGAAAAAATTCTCCTAAACCCAAGTTTACACAACTTCAACATACCGAAAAAAAATCAAGGAAAAAAACGTACGGGAAAAATCTCGTACTCACGTTCATAGTTGATTAAAACTATAATATCTGATCGGTTAGTATATTAATAAAATATCAGGTCAACAATGCCCATCACATGCACGATAGATAATCTATTAATAAATAATAAAAAATCAAATAGAAGGATAATCTATTAATTCATGAAACATGAGATACAATCTACTAACCTCAACAAATATGATATACAAGTGAGCTCATATCAAGAATAAAAAATACATTGCTACACTTCTTATCATCATTATATGATATTTTGTATGATTTAGACGAAAAGATGGAGGTGAGATAAAGGGTGTTGTTTCGCAAAACAACTGTTTTATATAAGATAAAATTGAGGACTACAAGACCCTTATTGCACCATTGTATGAGTTGTTGTTGTCTTATAACTCATAATGTAACTTAACTAAACTAGACATTAGCTATTAGGGAAGGAAAATAACATTCTAATTCATTTATAAATTATCCACATCTGTTATTATGAAAAAAGATACTAACTTTGTGCATTCAAAATACCCATACATGTCATTATAAAATATAATATAAAATTATACCTTTTAGTCTGTATCAAAGTTATCAACCTGAGTCTTTATAAACACATAAGTAAAAATATCTATCATATCTATATGCAAATACCAATACAATATATTAATATTAGTCCAACACCCATAAAAGGACGCTATATAAATTTTTAAATTACACTCTTCAATGTTCCCTATGTTGTGTCATGTAGAGCAAGTAAAATATCTATTTTAATATCTTATCAAACATGGAAAATAGTCCAAATAGCAATTATACTGACAACTTATTTTAAATATGTTAATACGAAATGACAATAAAATTCGTAGGTTGTTATTTTAAATAAGTTTATACTGACAATTTATTTTAAGTTTATACCAATCATAATAATAGCAATTAGTATCTATTCTATTTTTGAAAAATGACTGACCTCTATGATTGTGTAAAACAGTTAAAGAACCCATGAATCTGTATTTAAATTGCCCACTACTAAAAATATGATTTAAAGTGAACCTAAATATAATTCTAATTACCCACTTGCTATTATGTACATAATATATCATAACCACTTCAATCTGCATCTAAATTAACACTTTTTCATTATTTAAAATATTAAAAGATCCCTCAAATCTACATGTTAGTTATCATCTTCTACTACAACAAATATTTAAATTGCCATAAAGCATATATATGTTTCTATGTTACTCAATTCTGTTAATATTCATATATTAGAATTTTATTGAAGTAAATATACATATTATGACATCATACATATCAAGTACACATGCACACTTGAGTGATAAATATATATGTTCTATTTTAGCAACCATGAAAAATATTTTCTCAACAACTCATATACTAATGATACTAGCAAATTATTTAAAACTATATTACTAACAGTGACATATAATTTATATAAATTTTTATTTTAGATATGTAAGTCCTTCTTATTTTCTTTCTAGATAAAAAGTGAAGCTATGTATCTAGACATATTGTATATCTGAATATATAACAAGCTTACCAAGAAATGTCTGAACAACTTATAACTTGGAGTGGAAGGTGTACATTTTAACTAAAATGTTATCTATACTGATAGTAACCATTACTGCATATATAATTTTTTAATAAATAAATTTAAATGCATGGTGATAGTGCAAACCATATGTGCCTATACTTCCTTATCTTTGGGATTATTTTTAGAGTGAACAATCATTATATGACTTAAATATTAATACTCTCTCTAGGTTAGCACCATTCTATATTCACATCAAGCTCTATCATCAATTTTGAGATGCCGTGCATGTTTTAAATGATTGTTTATGTCATTGTAATATTTAAGAGTGCAATTTATGACCTAAAATCTTTATTTTAAAAAGTACAAAAGGAGAGTTAATAAAGATACAATAAGAAATTTAGCTTGAGAATAAAAAAAATTAGTAATTAATAAGATTACATTTGAAAATCAAAATTTTAAATTTATGGCATCAAAAGATATATATGGGTTGCAACAAGTAGCACCATAGTTTAAGCTTTTCCTTTTAGGCTAATGTTTCAACTAAATGCATATTCAAGTTACACAGCGGTGTCGTGCAAAGAGAGAGAACTATGGATATGGATGGAAAAAACATATAGATTAGTAATTGATGCATTGATCACAAAGAGAGAGAACTATGGATATGGCCTGCCTGACGGTGGATTTGAGCCGAGCAGTGAAGTACTCCCTCCACCCATACTATATGTATTTATAGGTTTCTCCGAAGTCAAAACTATGTTCCGTTTCACTAAATTTATAGGAGAAAATATAGACATATAGAAAACTAAATTAATATTATTAAATCAGATGGTAAATAAATTTTATAATATACTTAACCGTGTGTCATAATAATTACTTTTTGTAGACTTTCAGACTAACCTAGTTAGATTATCTTTTATGACGGATGTATGTATGTAGTAGGAAAATTGTGAATCCCGCGTATTGGAGTATTATTAATTCCTGCTTTGTTTACTCTTTGTTTTTGTTTTTTGCAAAGTTATATAGGGTGGAATTACTATTTATATTTATATTATATAGGTTTTTTTTTATCTTAACTTCTTTCGGGGGGCATTATCTGTGTTGGGATTAGTGGTTTCTTTGTTCAGATCTAACTGGATCGGCATCGGCCCTCTGCTGAAAATTGATGAAGGTGACAGCTTAGACGCAAATTGTGTCAGCTGTAACTCTGCATGCTGGCTTGCAACTCTGCATTGACTGAAACATCTTCCAATCACCATGGGATTTCATGGCCATTTCAATAACTGAAGCATTTTTTATTCAAAGCTTAATTTAGCACTGTCATCATGGACTTCTGATTTTGATGAAACATACGTAACAAACACATATACACCCAGCTCCCTTTTCAAACTGCTGATTCTTGACTTGATGCGTCCTGTTGAACAAATGTTCAGTAAGTTGCAAATTAACAACTTCAGTAGCTCGGCTGTGAACTGTAGAAACAACGGTTATCAGAGCCGAACAAGCCCTACGCAAATGATCTGAAACCTAACTCATCATACAACCATTTCATCAACTTGACAAGGCCGACGGCTTCGTTGTGCCAACGCCATCACCGCCGCTCACGGTCGTCGCCGGTTCCATAGACGACGTTGTGGAGGCAGGACGATCGGCCGGCGGTCCGTAGGTAGCAACTGGCATCTTCGCGGGGAGGGTCGGCGGTGGCCCCTCGAACCGCAGCACGTTGACGGCCTGCCTGACGGTGGGACGCAGTCCGCGGTCCGGGTGCGCGCACCAGAGCCCGACGAGCATCGCGCACGCCATCTCCCGGCCGTCGAACTGGCCCCGGAGCCGCGCGTCGGCCGCGTCGAGGATGGTCCCGCCGCCGTACGAGTCCCAGACCCACTGCACCAGGTGGACGAAGTACTCCTCGTCCCCCACGCGCACGGCCGGCCGACGGCCGCAGGCGATCTCGAGGAGTAGGACCCCGAAGCTGTACACGTCCGACTCGACGGTCGCCCTCCCGGTGAGCATGCACTCCGGGTCCATGTACCCCATCGTGCCGGCGACGCCCGTCGTGTGCGACCGCCGGTCGTCGTCGATGAGCCGAGCGAGCCCGAAGTCGCCGAGCTTGGCGGTGAACGACGCGTTCAGCATGACGTTGCTCGGCTTGACGTCCCGGTGCACCACCCGCCGCTCGGCGTCCTGGTGCAGGTACAGCAGAGCTTCGCCGACGCCGAGCGCGATGCGGTACCTGACCGGCCACGTCAGCAGCTGGCTCTGGCTGTCCGGTCCGTGGAGGTGACCGTCGAGGCTACCGTTGGGCATCAGCTCGTAGACGATGAGCAGCTCGTCGTCGCCGCCGTGGCACCAGCCGATGAGCTGCACCAGGTTCCGGTGCCGGAGACGGCTGATGATCCTCACCTCGGAGACGAACTCCTTCCAGCCTTGCCGAGAGGTCTCCGACACCCTCTTCACGGCCACTTCGCGGTCAGAGTCGGTCAACAGCCCACGGTACACGGAGCCGAAGCCGCCTCTCCCGAGTCTCCGGTCGTCGGAGAAGTTTCCAGTGGCTGCGGCGAGCTCGTCGTAGCAGAATCGTCGGGGCCCGGTCACCACCCCCTCGAGGTCGTCTTCCACCTGCTTTCCGCGGAAAAATCTTTTGTCTTCTACTAGTGTTTGCTTTGCTTGACAGTCTTTCTCACGACCATGAGATTTTGCCGTTTCCGCTGCCGGAGGCAGAACCAACCCGACAGACCGATGCAGAGCAAGAACGCAAAGGAAGCGGCAGAAACGACGCCGGCGATCACCGCCAGCTTGCCGTGGACGGGGGCAGCTTGATCTTCCAAACCAACCATTGGATTGTTAGTTTTGGACGGTTGACAAGAAATTAATACAAGTGAAAAAACATCAAAAGAAGAGACGAGCTAACCGTAGTGGCACCCGTCGCCGGCAACGAACCCATCGCCGGCTATGCCGTCCACGCATGTGCATCGGTGACCCCACGCTCCGTTCGGCGTCTGCACGTCCTGGCACGTCGCGTTCTGGGCGCACTGGACGCTGTTGGTGGCATTGGCACACGTCCCGTTGAGCCACCATCCTAGCTCTGCCACGCCATACTCCTCGGACGGCACCATCTGCGCCGTGTACACCACAGACACCAGCGCGTCCTCGCAACCAACGGCGTCCACCTCATCCCAGCGCATAAACTGGCCCTCACCCCTCGCCGCCGCGTGGCTGATCGGGGCCGGCCGCGCGGAGGACACGCACACCAAGGTGGTGTCGTTGTCGCCGCACCCCGCCGTGCGGAGCACACTTGTCATGATGTCCGCGGAGACGGAGCAGTTGGCGGCGGCGGCGGCCCCGTCGTGCGTCGTGCGGCAGCCGGCGCCGCTGAGGAAGAGCCCGGTGTGGTTCGTGACGCCGTAGCCGGCGGAGCCGTTGGCGTTGAGCGCCGCCCTGGCCTCGCTGACGGTGCGGGTGCACCAGGTCGGCAGCGAGACGACAAAAGTAGAGGCGGTGCCGTTGAACGAGAGGATCGGGTACGGCGGCGACGCCGCGGGGCTGTTCGTCAGGAGGAGCGCCGTGGACGCGGAGGCGTTGCAGCCCAGGAGGATGGGGCAGTCGCCGGAGAAGCCGAAAGGGTACGGCACCAAGGTGCTGCCGCACTGCCGGTTGCACCCCCCGCCGGCGGTTGCGGAGAAGGTTGCATGGGGGAGGAAGACAAGGAGGAGGAAGACTCTGTGCGTGTTGTTGCCTTGTAGGGACTAGGGAGCCTACTGGTCTTGCACTTGTTTCGAGTGCTAGTTTCGGTTGCTTGTTGCTAGTCCTATTCCTATCCTACTCCTACCTGCATAATTGCAAAGCTGAAACATCAAACATGCCAATTGCCAATGGAGACGGAGAGGGGGAGACTGTGAGAGGATATCCGTGTGACTAGAGATAGAGATAGAGAGAGAAAAAAAAAACAAAGAGCCGTGGCCCGTGTGCAAGAATAGGAGGGGCACATTCTGCTATGCTAGCTTGCGCACAACCGTATGACGGTAACGGTATGAGCAGTGGTCTACTGGTCTTTGCTGGTGGCGTGGGTCGTGGGGAAGTGATTTGTGGTTTCAGAAGACATTCAGCATTCATAAGACCTGTGACTGGTTTAACATTGCAAACCGTGAGGAACTGTTTTGTTTCAAAAGACATTCAGAGTGATGCATCAGGACCAGATTGACGGACCATGAATGGGAAAACCTATCAGAACTCAAGGAGTTCCAATAATATCTGTCTCATCACTCATCACTTCATCAGCAAGCACCCCCACCACTGCTAAGCAGCCAAAATTGAATCAAAGGAAAGTAGGAAACTAATTTCCATGCCTTCTACAATATAGGTTGAGCATGACATGAAAAGGACCGGTAAAAACGATACATACCGACCAAGAAAACACTGTCGGGTCAAGGACGCGGCTGTGCTGTAGACTTTAACAGCTAAACGAGTGACCACCACTCACCAAGGGATTTCTTGGCCATCCCATGCGAAGAACTTGCCGTTGTCGCTTTTCTTGACGTTGTCAATGATGGAGAGGAGCTTCTGTTCGTACAGAGAACTCTCGCGTGAAGAGCTTACCCTTGGGGACATTGTTTCTCCGAAGTAAAGAGCTATCGGAGACGACGACCAGCACAGTGAACTGGCAGCTGCCTACATGCACCAGCTCGTCTTCTTGCTTCTCTTCCTCTTCCTCCCCGATGCAACCTTCTCCGCACCCGCCGGGTCGTGCAACCGGCAGTGCAGCAGCACCACGGTGCCGTACCCTTTCGGCTTCTCCGGCGGCGGTGGCGGCAGCGACTGCCCGATCCTCCTGTCCTGCAACGCCACCACGTCAACGGCGCTGCTCCCGCGCAGCACCGCGGCGGCGCCGTACCCGGTGCTCTCGTTCAACGCCACGGCCTCCACCTTCCTGGTCTCCCTCGCGCCGTCGTGCGGCCGCGGCGTCGCCGAGGCCAGGGCGGCGCTCGACGGCGCCGGGTACGGCGTCTCCTCGCGCACGGGGCTCTTCCTCCGCGGCGGCTGCGGTTCGAGTTCGAATTCGAACGCGAGCGGCTGCAACGTGCCGTCGGGCGTCATGTCGGCCATCATGCGCACGGCGCAGTGCGGCGGCGGCCGCAACGACACGTCCTGGACGTGCGTGCTCTCCGCGCCGCCGGGCCCCGGCAGCCCCGCCGCGACGACGGGCGAGGGCCAGTTCTTGCGCTGGGACACGGTGGACGCCGCCAGGTGCCAGGACGCGCTCACCTCGGCCGTGTACGCGTACACGGCGCAGGGCGTGCCGTCGATCGAGTTCGGCATCGCGGAGATGGGCTGGTGGCTCAACGGGAGTTGCAACAGCGGCGGCGGCACCGGCACCGGCGGGCAGTGCGCGATGAACGCGACGTGCCAGGACGTGCAGACGCCGGGCGGGGCGTGGGGGCACCGGTGCGCGTGCGCGGACGGGATGTCCGGCGACGGGTTCGCCGCCGGCGATGGGTGCCACTACGACGGCGCGACGAGCGGTGAGTGCACAGTGCTCGTGCTTCGTTGTCAGTTATTATCGTTGCTCTCGTCACGGTGAACTGTGCTCGCGTCATTGCTTGTGCCGCCGTGGTTCTCTCGTCTCGAGCGGGGCCAGGCGTGACACTGACACGTCAACCCGGCCCGGAAGTCTTCCCTGCTCAATCATTACGCGACCTAGCTCAATAAATTCTACGGGTACATACAACAATTTACATAGATAAAGACTAGAGCCCTAGAATATTGCTCTCGAGTTTACCTTCGTTTTCGTTATATAATAGAGAAGTCGTGGCCATTGGGCCTTGCAAACGCGTATGTCCACCGTCCACGTCACCACTCACCACGTGCATGCTTCAAACAGGCTACAAGAACAGCTCGGAACAAGGAGTTATTAGGACCTCATGCAAACACAAGATATTCGAAACATAGGAGTAGGAAATTAAAACATAGAATTAAAGTTACATGTCAAACATAGAATTAATATTACATGTCACTTGTAATCCTACTTAAATTGGAAACGTGAGAAATTTTCTATAAAGCATTTGGATATAACAAAGGGATTAGAAGAGAGTTAGTTACAAAGGAAAGTTTCCAACATGTTAGATCTCCTTTCAAATTCATATGAATTGAGCCATTCCATAAGAATTTTGTAGGATTTGAGGATAGCCAACCTTTGTTCCAACGGAACACATAGGGGAAAAAATCCATATAAGTCTATAACCCTCCAAAATTTCTTCATAAATCCTTTGTTCCAAAGGGGGTCTTAGTGGGGGAAGAAAACATGGATAATCTATATAAGTCTATAACCCTCCAGCATGTTTAGTTTGATAGATATCTATAGATGGAACATAGAGGATGGCGGTTCATGTTTTATAAACATTTGGTTCATAGGCAAGCTAGACTGGACAATCACTTATGCAGGAATTGTACAGGAGTTTCATAGAAATCAGTTTAATTTCACGAGAAAAACACAGGAATAGAAAAATTTTACCGCATTCCAAACAGGAAAGAATATTATCTTTATTTGCTCAATAAGTTATCAATAAAAAATGATCGGGTGAGCTTATCCACATTTTCTAATGTTGGTCATTAGTAAAAAAAATCATGATGATTAGTATGTTATGTTAGTACTTAGAAATTATAATGCCAAGATTACTTTTGATTAGTGCTACTATGTTGATTAGTGCATGATTTGTGTGCCAATTAGGGTAGCAGTAACATATTTTATTTTGAAGTAGTAATTAGCATGAAAAATATTAAATGACAGTGTATATTTATTAGTGTATAATTATTTGTTATTATTTTTAGTTCAAAGATATAATTATTCAACTATTTTCATCCGATCCAACAAAAAAAATAGCTCGTCCGATCTATCGAGCCAAACGGGCAACATGAATAGTTCTATCTAGAAAGCTATGGATGGAATATATCTCAACCTGAACACTCGAAGTCGGATATATAAAACGCACTCCCTACTTTCTATATAAAATATAAAGTTTAATTTAACTTAGTTCAGTCTCCACGGTCACATTTAAACGCTAAGTTTCCTCTTATAAAATGCCATATGAGGCAACAAAAGTTTGGTCGTTAGAGAGTATTTCTACATACAAATATAATGCAAATATTGTTATAGCATAAAGTTTTTATACAACTAGACTTATTATTAGTCAATGATTATGAAGTTTGAATTTTTCATATATGTGCATGTGCATGCCTTCTGTTTGGGACAGAGGGAGTATACGAGCTACATATCAATATCTGGTGCATCCAACACTATATTTGACTCTGTATACACCAAAAACAAACAACTCCATGTATTTGGTATCTGTAATGTAACAGAACCGACCAAATCATCAGAACGTAAGTACAAAAACAATCACCGAAGCGATCAAATTCCTGTACTTAAGCTCCCATAATCCCGGTAGTCCGGAAATCACGAAGGATTTCAACCAACTCTCGACATACAAACCAAGATCGTAGTGATTCAACACAACACATCATCCGTTACAACATTTCATAAGTAGCATTCGGATTACATCCATCAGAGTTCAAATAAAATATTACAAACCAAGTTTAAATGCGCGGAAGCAACATTATTTTAGTACATAACTTCATAGTTTCAAATACATTGCCGGATCGTAGTCATGTCCCACAAAAGCATTATCGTGCACGAGAACTAGTAGAGACCAGCGCCCAACGGCCTAGTCTTCATCCCTAGGCGGGAGAAGGCAAGATTTGCTTGCGACAACCAAAGAAGAACTGGTCATCTGCAATGGTGGGAGATAAACCACGAGTACGAGAAGGTACTCACTAGACTTACCACCAAAAACCAGAAATAAAAGACACCAAGGATCATGCAAGGCTTTTCAGGTGGGCTAACTTGACACAGTTGCATAAAGGAGCTTATGATTATAGTAACCAATTTAATCTTAGCATCATGCTTATCATTAATTGTCTGTCCACTAGATTAGCACCTGTACTAGAGCACTCACTTATTAGGAGCAAACAATATTAACCATAGCAGTATAATAAGGCTTTGTCATCATCATATCATCATTTCCGAACCATTAAGTTATTAAGTGTATCTACATTGGAGATAAGCCCGTCAAGTTCTCACTAACTTGAGAGACGGCGATTCAATCAATTACAACTCAGGTGACGGGGTATTCCTAACTCTCACCTGGCATACTTTGCAAGGGTAGCCATGGGTCACCTTTGGAACATCTCAGAACCAAATTCGCGGGTTCGATCAACGCCAAGACACTCTCGTGGATTACCCTTCCATCGGACGATCGGGACTTTTAAATCACCGCCATTGGACTTATGCCTCACGGCTCCTTCCGAGGCGCACTTTATACTTATCGACTCCCGGCCGAGATGAGCTACTCGGCCGTGGTCGGTCTCTGCACCCGCCAACTAAGAGAGAGGCATCGTTCAACATGAATAGGAAAGGCTCCAAGATTCAGTCCTTAATCGACACGACGGAGTCACTTTGCAAACCGGCAAGCCTCCGCCGGTCTTCATTTCAAATTAAGACTGGTTCTTTTCCACGATAGCAAATATAGCCAACCGTGCCACATGTATATTCCTATATCTCACAGGTGACAGGAAATCACCCGACTTCTACCGCGTTTAAGCAGGGCTAAGCACTACACGAGCCTGAGCTACATAGGATTCAGGGTAACAATATCTCGGACAAGGATTGGGTAACCAATGCGACAATTGTTTGCATCCAACACCTAAACTTAATGCAACAATATATATATGTAACAATAATATTGTAATCGCATTTCGAAATTAGGAGGCTTAATATGCTCGGGGCTTGCCTTTCACAAAGTTGCACGACGGTGATCCGGGCACTCAACGGCGACCTCGTCTGGCACTTCTTCTGAAGGCTGCACCTCCTGAACCTCCGGTGTCGACTGCTGCTGCTCGCTCGGTTCCTTGAATTCCAGCAGGGTTACTCTTTCCGGTACACCTATTGCATGCCGATGCAAAAGATAAATATCATGGATGCATAAGGAATGACATGATGCTCATGATGAATGAATCACCGTCAGTGTTTACGAAAGCATCACTGGACACTCGTTTACCGAGTAATTAACTCTATTCAAATCACTTTAAGCATGTATCTACTTAACTTAAAGAACAAGATCAATTTACCTAACTTGCATAACCTAAGATAAATATGCCCATCTTCAGTTAAAGGCCTAACACCTAGGAACATTACCACAACTTAGAATCGTAAAGGTATACATAATTTAACATTTAAAGTTTCATATGCATACAAATAGTCCCTTAATCCAATCACAACCAGAGTTCTACAAATCCAAATGACTTGCAAGAGGACATTCTGGAAAGCTTATGAAATTTTCTACAATTCATTTATAAACATCAAAGCATGATTCTTAAGTTAACCTAATCAAGTTCCAGTAAACTTAGAATCTGTCCAGAAATGACAGGGTTACTAACTTACTTAGTTAATGATTGTGCAAAAGCATAATTTGATCAATCCAAGTTTACCAACTTGTTTTTCATACCTAAAAAACATCAGAAAGTATAGTGCCAACTTCTAAATAATTTATTTAATA